TTCCTTCCTGATGACTATTGCGTGTTTTGGTTTCCGACGAGGGTTGGCTTCGCTCCATTGTTATTATTGGTACAACAAAACCGAGGCAATTTAATTTGATGGTCCCCTCAACCTGCAAAAAAGGGGGAGAGACAAGGCCTGGAGGTGTTTGGTGGTTGGTTTTTCAGCTAGGATCTATCACAAACTATCCATCGATTATTTTATTACCACTCCAGCACTCCACCCTCTGTGATTGTTATGAGTTTCCAAGTCCCATCCACAAAAATTCGATTCCAGAACTTGTCATCGTGCCACAAGTTGTTGCCCTTTCCCCACTCCCCAGATACTCGCCACTCATATGTTCTGTTTTCTGGCCTGTTCACTAATTTTCGTGCTCTACCTTTTTGTCTTTATCAGCTGCTGTTTATCGGTCTCTTTTCTTATTGAATTTTTGGTTTCCTCTTCTCCAGACCAAAATACAGCCACTCGTGCCTCGCGTCTGTTTTCAGCACTCAGTTCTCTGTCCACTGAATTGATTTCGTTAAGTTGGGCAAAAACGTGTTTCAGCTTTTTGGCCGAAAAAACCCGTTTTAAGGACGTTCTGGGAGATGCAGATGCTGGCTTCTGTATATCTGCATCTTTTCGAGTTTAACTCATTTTTATGACTCACTTTACAAAGGTCTGTGAATCGGTGATCGGGGATCGAGGAACTGGGGTAATGATCAACAGCTGCTTGATTTGATTGAAATTGCAGGTGTAATTCAGGAGATTAATCGTTATGGCCTCGTGTCAACAGACAGGTGCTAAATCCAACCACTTCAGATTTACAGACATTCAGAAAATCAGTTTAAAAACTTTGAATTCGTCTTTAAGGTTCGACAATCTATAAGTTTTGGCGATAGTGTGTAATCTTTTCATCATATTTTCGTCACCATCTAAAAGAATTAATTGTGCTTGTGCGTAATTCAACTTTAGTTTCTTTATCAGAAAGTTATTATTTATTTATTAACCTTAAACATTCTAATCATTCAGAAAATTAACTATGACGTAAATGATGTGACAAAAAGAGATTTAAAGTTGTATAACCAATTATAAATCTTTTTTTTGCAGGTATTCAATTTTTTGCTTATTTATTTCAAGAGTGGTAACAAAAAGTGTCTTATCTATGCCACTTGTGTTACTTTTGTAAAACTTTTCAAAAAAACTTATAATAATAAAGATATCAAGTACATAACTTGTGCATGTATAGTATTTCCTTACGCAACCCCATACTTCACTCTAATGATTTTCCCCCGTGAGCCACAAACTTTTCACTTGAGTTTCCCCTAATATAAGACAAGTCTGATGGGTATACAGTTTCAATTATCATCATGCGTGTACGTCTAGGTATTATCCCGCACTCCACCCTTCACCGCTGCCTTAATTGCATTCCCCCTGCCCCAAAATAGTAATGACAGTTTTTATTTGCCTCATCCTCATCGTCATCCTCTGAACCTCGAACCATGTGCCCAACACGTGTCCAGCTGCAAGAACTTTTCCGTCATTTGCAGAAATGAAAAACGTTTCCAGTTTTTCTTCAAAAGGGAGAAAAGTAGAAAAGAAGCTGAAATGCTTTTTTCCCTCGAAATGAGGCGGCAGAGTGGCAGAGAAAAGAGCGGAGTAGAATGGCATGAGGAATCTGCAAGTTTTATGACCAAACCAAGGCAAACCAGTCGCCAGAAGAAAGAGGATTCCCGGCTTCTCCGGCTGCGAGATTTATGAAATTTGTGCAAGGCTGACAAGTTACAGCTTTCGGACCTTGTTGCGCCTTAATGAGATTTGGTTTATGGAGTCTTTTCCGAGTTTCCCAGCCCGACAACTCTTTGTTACTATTGCAATGTTTGGTTATAGCCTATTAACATAACAAAAGGTTTTCTCACTTTTTTTGTGCTTGCCCCACAGTGTAAATTGTGCCCCCAAAACTTTTTCTTCATCCTTCAATTTGAAGGAGGAGGAGTTCGGCCAACCCACACTTTGACATTGAAATGTTTTGAAAACTCATTCGGGCAAATTGCTTACAAATTCCGGATTAAATTACCGATCCACCTCCCCAAAAACAATCACAAAAACAAAAGAAAAGTGAAATCTGCCACGAACCGAAAAGAAAACTCTTTTGGGGCATTTTCTGTTCCGAAGGAAAGTGAAGGAAATTGCACAAAAAGCTACAAATCAAATTAATAATCATATGTCTGGTGGAAAGAAATGCATTTGGCGGTGGAAGGGTAAGTCTCGGCTAAATCTCTCCCAGATCAAGCTCGTGCTTTCAATTCAAATTGACGCCCCCACAGATCGCTTTTCCCTCCCCTCTTTACTTTTTTTTGTGTTCGATCGCTGCCCGCACGTAATTTCATTTTGGTATCTAGGTTTTCTGCGGTCAGCAATTTGGTGTGGTCTCATTATTTTGGTAATGATATTTTCTATGTATATATTTGGAAAAACCCTTGTGGATTTAGTTGATGGTTTTTGTTTTCCAGTGGCTCGTATTGCTTTTACAAGTACCTATAGATAGGACGTGAACGGTTAGAAAAAGGTTAATTGGGATTGAGAATTGGCGAAGCATTATCTCGCGAAGAACAGTTTCTCAATGTGGATAGTATTTGTATCGTAGAGTTTTATTAATAAAAGGGATTTTGATAAGAGTTTAAAGTTTTAATATATATTTCTAGTTTACTATTTAAATGGACCCAACAAGACTTCAATCTCTACTTACGATTATCTTATTGCTTGTCGTCAATCAATTTGTATCTGAAGGAAATCCTTCCATTTAAAGAACTTCACCTCAGGCTCTCGTTCTACTCTTTTAAGACTATTAATTATACCTTAAACAAATTTTCCTACTCACGTTTTTGTCGATCTCCTCGAAACTGTTTGCTTATATTTTGCCTACAAAGTTCTTCGGTTTAATATCCATTAATCTTCTGGCGAGTGATTAATCGCTTATTGGTATTCGATTGTTTACCTTAGCCCTTAAACGCTTTTTGCAATTGGTTAATCTTTTATTATCTTTACTTGACGTCTACTTTAGGCTATGACTAGACTGCAGTGTTGCATCATTAACAATCGATTAATCGACTCGTGCTCCTAATGTTGCCTCCGGCATTTGGCCACTCGATATCTGTAATCGATTTTCACCTCGTCGTGCGGGTTTTCCCGGCTCTAATTAGTTACTTCTTGGGAGGAAAACTAGTTTCAACTTGCAACACCGCGCTTCGATTGCCACACGAAATATGTCGAGAACTCTGCCGGCAGCAACAGTCACAGCAGCAACATGTTGCAATGTTGCAAGTGTGAAGTTTTTGGTGGGTAGGGGAAGGGGTTTGCTAGTGGGTTGTCATGCTTAGTTGGTTGCACGTGAACAAATTTTCAATAATTGTATCCAACAAATAATTTATCCAATGACCAATAAAATGTTCGAAGTTAAAACCAATAAATCTTAAATTAATAACGTTTTTAGTCTCTGTTGGTGATTGTTACTTCATCGCGAAATTCTTCAGAATGTTCAAAAACCAATATATTTTTTTCCGTGTGTCCAAAACGCGTTCGTTCGCATTCGCAGCGACGACAATTCCAGAGAAACAGCTGAAACGTGCTGAATGCAGCTGGCTCCTGCTTTGGCTTTCGTCTCCGTTGCAACTCCACTGCGCCACCCCCTCGAGAACCGCTCCTCCCCCGCCCATGGAATGGAGTCCAGGCCAAGGCAAAAGTGCCGGTCAGTTCTTCTTGCTGCGGTGTGTGCTCTGGATTTATTGCCACAGCAGGAGGCAGCGTAATAGGGGCATTGTGGAAAAATGCTAAAAAGAAGCTCGTTATCGTCTCGTTTTCTCTGAATAAATTATGATCGAGCCTGACAGCAAAATTGGTACGAATAATTGCCCGGATTCAGTATGTTTTAGCTACTGATGCGGGCTGTTTTTATCCAATCCATTGTTCAGTTCAAGGTCATGAACCTTAAATATGTCCATTTAAATATTAAGACTTAAAATTCATAGTAGAATTTAATAAATATTAAATAAAAATAAAATTTTGATGTAGTATACAGTTCTTCCAAAATTATTAAGGCTATTGAATTAAGTCACAATCCTACCTAAAAACTGTAAAAAATGCTATTATTTTAACCTCAATTGTAAGTCGCCTGGCTGTCGTGCAACTCAGACTTGGATCGAGAAGGAGTTTGGGGAGGGCTCTGGCAATGAGAATGGGGACTGGGGACTGGGACTTTAGCCTGGCCATCCCATCCCATCCAATCCCATTCCGTCCGAACCGCGGGGTCAATGGCTTCTTCATTGGTCGACGCTTCGTTCTGCCGTTCGTTGGTGTGTTGTAAAAAATGAAGCGCGAATTATTATTTTAGCGAGGCGAAATGGAAAATGTTGTAATAATAAAGTGACTTCCACTCCATTACGGAGGCGAGACGGGGCCAAGCCCCTTCTTCTGGGGCCGGGCCCGTTCTTTGGTGGGGCTTACATCATTTGTCGGAGAATCCGATGGGATATCGAGGAAATCGGGGAGGGGATAGACTAACATTTCCGTTAGATTGCGTCTGACAAAACACGCAAAGCCCGAACCACTCCGAAAATGAAGTGAGGAACTTGAGCAAAGCTTAGCCTTCGTTTTATAGAATAATCGCTCGCTTCTCGGAATTGGAGTTGAGTTGAGTATGGTATATAATTCAATTAATTGTGAATTGCCCCGCTTGGAATGGAGTTCGGTTCTAGAAGGGTGAACATCAAATGGAAAGGAGGATGATGGAGCTTCAGATTGAAAGATTGAGCTGGACAGGAGTTGAATAACATGAAAGATCGTAAACAAAATGGTTTTAGGAGCTGCGCAAAAGTGTTTTGTTGAATAATATATATTTAACACCGTTCGTTTTTATAAAAATCTTTCTAAGCAATTTGTTGTTTATTATTGTAGTCCACTGTAATTTTGTGCAAGTCTTAATTACCCGTAGCTCCACTATTATTCTTATTTTCTTTTCATTCTCCTTGCTTCATTATTTATACTTTTAATAACCATTTCAAATGATATACAATTTTATCTAATCAGTTACGCCTCTTCTTGTTTGCACCTAATGACTCAATTAATGTTTATCTGGCTTTGTCTGTCTGCCTGCCCGTCGCCATTCGGTTTGATTGATTGAGATCTGCAAATAGAGTGATATCACTTACAGAACCTCAGACAGAAGCTTAATGGAAGGAAGTTTAAATAAGTCAAGAAATAATATTTCATTGCTGAGTATTAAAACTTTTATTTTCCTTAAACCCCGTCACCTCTTACCATTGGTACACTCTTCCAAAAAGCCATTATAAACCCTTCAAAGATTGAAAGCATTAAAAAAAGCAATAGAAAGTTCTTCGACAGACATCCTTTCTCTCTGTAAATATTTACGCCAAAGAACCCGAAACATTGACATTTGACTGACAGTCCTAAGGCAACTGTCCAAACAAACTGGACCCAAAACAAAACCCCATCCATTTGTCGGTTTAGGCCAAACAATCCCCAGCACTTTTGTGATCTCCCGCACATGTGATGATGTTGTATGGCGTAAGCTTTTGACCCCTGTGTTGTTAGCGAAAGATACCGAAATTTCACTTTTTCGGTGCTTTTGGATTGCAGTTAATTGGTTTATCACGCATACGAGGTTGCACTTGCTTCCAAATGGCATCGAAAACACTTTCGTTTTCGGGTGGAAAATATAAAAAACCAAACCGAAAGTTAACCGACGCTGAGTTGTTGAGAGATAACAAATCGTACAAGTCCGGGAAGCAAGGGTTGTAAATTTTTTACATAAATTTCCGTGGCTCGAAGGTTGATTTTATGTCTGAGTCTGCATTGGTTTCTTTTAGTAAAAACGGAGCAGTAATTGATACCTTTTACTCCCTTGATTATACACATCTGTTGAGGTAACCATTTAACCGCATAGACAGTGCGTTTCATAACTGTAAGTGGCCCTTGCAATTTAAGGTTGCCATTTTTCCGAAATATTTTTAGGTCCCAGTTTATAAAATACTTTTGAGTCACAATACACTCAATTGAGTCACTTTGGCCCAATTATCGAATTAAATCTGTTGAATAAATTGCCGTGAAATTATTGGTCTTCCTCAAAAGGAAGTGATTTATTAAAAGAAACTATCAGTCAATTATCGAGTTTAAAAGTCGGTGTCGATATTATCGAGTTAACGCATAAGTATAAAAAAGTTAGTCTGTTTCGCACAAACTTCATCATGATTAAATTTTTTTTATCTGTTTTCTTATTGCCTAAATTATTTTGACAACTTCTTAGGTTTTTGAAACGCAGCTTTCTTATGAATTGCTCTTGTGTATAAACATAAAGTTGTATGATCCACGTATGAAGATATCTTTCTGTCACAAGTTTCTTTTTTGTTTTTTGCACTCCCTCTCCCGGGAGTCCCCACATTTGCTCCCCGCCTTTTTGAAACCACAAAAATCTGCGGCCTGCGATCTCCTCGAGTGGCTTTTCTTGGGTTTGCTGGGGGTTCGGGGTTTTTGGGGTTTCGCCTTTGGAGCTGGGGCTCCGGCTCTGACTCTGACTTCGGCCCCTGCTGTGAGCTGAGTTTTGCATAATTTCTCTGGGCTCGTAAATGAAACAAAGACATCATCGATATCAAATGCCAACTGCGGACAGAGAAGGCAACAAGTTGTCTGGGGGCTCTTGTTTGGCTTCCCCTTTCATGTACGGGCTGGCAATTTTCAGTTTCAGGACTTGGTTTTTAATTGCTCATAAAAGCTGCCATATAAATGGTATATTTTGAGAGAAGTATTTTGTGTTACCTAAGTGGATTTTCGCCCCAGTCGGCAACTCGCAGATACATTTACATCTGCGGTTCGCCCGAGATATATATACATAGTTAAAAATTATAGAGCAGCTTCGAGTCATTGCTATCGCTGCATTCAAATCGGCAGCAATTTTCATTCGAAATTGAAATTTTAATAAACATTGTCCAAGACAAAGACTTCAGCTTTTCCTGGCGCGGTGTGATAATATTTACTTTTACAACTATTTAATGGAGAAAACTGCATTGTTGTGCTCGATCGGAGCGAGAGAGGTGAGATATAGTCGGAGCTGCCATAAAAGCGTCAATCAAAGCTACTGTTCGCAGGTGTGAGTGTGTGCTCGGATTAATGCGGCACTTTTGATGGCCAAAATGAAATGGTTTTTTTGGGTTGCCCCACGAGGGGGAAAATTACTCGAAACGAAAGTGAAAAGCAAATGACTTTTCTTGGGCTCAGCTGGCTCAAATAAATCAACATTATTGTGCAGTTTTGTGTGACCTTGTTAAGACAAGTATCTGGGATTTTATGGAATAAAAGATTTTTAATGATATTCATTCCTATTGCCAACACAAAGAAGAGATTGTAAAATAAAATGACACGGCTTTTATGTACGTAATATTAGGAAAGGATTTTATGGCTTGAAAAACTAATTTTAATTAATGTTTAAAAAAGAGTTTAATAATGATGTTTTATAATAATAGTACCTACACAAATGGGCAGCAATCTCTAATTGATAATACCAATAAATGAGAAATCAAATTCAAACAGCTTTCTTTAAAAGGGTTTTAATGCTCTGTCTTTCAGATTTAGAACAAAGATGTCATAAATAAAAGGGGTACTTTAAAATCATTTGATGCCCAATGGGATCATGAGTCATGTCTATCTGGTTAGTCAAATTTGTGGGCGTTGGTTGGACTCATTATTTGGTATTTTATTTACTTCACTCTGTTCATATCTCATCATCACCAAATTAGTGGTTTATTTGCCCTAGACTCAACCTCTAATTAAATTAATATAAAACTAAGGTCCATAAACCGACCCATTGACATCGTAAAACTTCACTCAACTTTGTCGCCGAGTTGAAACTTGTGCCCCCTTTCAACTTTGTTCTTTCCCTACTTATTTGAAGTTAACGACTCTCAATCCGCTTTGAAGTGTGTGTTGAAAAGCACACTAATTTTTACGAGCCCCCGACAAAAAAAAGAAAAGCCAACTAATAAAATTCTTTGAAATTTTCTCTCTCATTGCAGGTAAGCCAAAGTCCAAAGCAATTTACCTATGAATATTTCTTATGAGCTCTCGTAAGTATTTCACTTGGCTTTAATTGTCTCGGCCTGGCCAAGCCTTTTGTTGGCCAAACCGCAAAAACGCGAATAGAAAAATTCCATGAAAACAATTTTGTTTTTCCAGCGTTGTGCTGCTGTGGCTTTTAAATGGCTATCGATGCAAAGCCCGAATTTTCGGCGCGGGGAAAAATCGTTCCAAATAAGCGGGGAGTATTTGCCGACAAAGAGAGATCGAGATATATATAGTCAGTCGAGCGGGTTGCACAAGAGCGATCTGTCATAACTGTAAGTTGGTCTGGGGACTCGATTTGCGTGCCTTTGCTTTCAAAAATCTAATTAGACAAACAATGGCCGCATTATGGCCATAAACAAACCAATTCCGAAAAGACCAAGAACCGTTTTTTCTGTGTTTTTTTGGGGCTGTGTCTTGCGGTGGAAAGTTTCAAGTTCCGCTTGCAAAACAGCAAAACAAAAAAGGCTGAGGGTCTGTGCCACAAAACGCGATCGTTTGTTTCTGCCTCTGTAGACCAAAAGCCGTAAATGGCTGATGAGGCCAACTTAATTATACCGTTGCAAGAGACGCTCTTTGTTGTTTTTTCCTTCCAGTTTACTTCATTTGCAAATTGCGGCATGGCTTCAAACGAAGAAGGTAGATGGTGGTTTCCCGGGGAGAGATTGTTCCAGTTTTGGCGAGTCAAGTTTTTGAGGCATTAATTGTCGGGAGGAGGCAGTCGAGCCCTGAAGGGTCTCCCTTCTGGCATCCAAGAATTAAAGTAGCTCGTGTCAGTCATGATTTCCAGCGATCACTGTCTGACTTCAGAGGAGGCGGAAATGGAGGAAGCACAAGGTGGAGTTGATTGTGATCACATAATAATCCTCTCATGGTGGAAACCACAAATGATACATTTAACTAGAACATCACCAAGTTCGTGTCAATTTGCCTAGGGAATGTTCTGCTAGTAGCTTATTATTACTTTATTATTATTACTTTAGTCGTAAGTCCATCTCCGGAATTATAATTTTTTATAATTATAATTTTGCATTATCTAATGCAAATTTTTATTTATAGAATCGGTTTATTGTTTAATCTCTCACTAATTAAATATTACCGTGAAACCTTTCCATTATGACTTCATTTCCCCCGATTCTTTGTATTTGTATCAGCTTTGATTGCATTTTGTTTATCAGCACAAAGTTTTGCGCTATCAAAAAATCAATAGCAAATAGAACAGTCATCATTAAATTAAGTGGGTCATTAAAATATCTGCGTCGCAGAACAAACGGCACCTGCAGTTGGTCACATAAGCCACATATTTCATAAGGGATACCTGCCTCATTATGGTCATGAAATATGGCGTGTTGGTTGCTGAGGAAGTAGGGAAATGAGATCGGGGGTTGCAAAAACACACGATAAGGTTTTTGACATTTGTGCAGCGAGAAAAGTTTTCCAAGCACTTAACGCAGCTTAGTTTTTCCCTCGACCAACTAATTCAAATTAAAGTTCAACTCGAAACAATAAAAAAAAAACCTAAAAAATAATAGTAATAATAATAAAAAACCAAAATGCGACCGGAAACCACATCAACTTGCAACTCTGGAGCGGAACGAACCGAAGAGCAAACGAGTTTAATTTGGTCTACTACGGATATCATCTGGATTGGGTCTGTTCGGGTTTAGTACTTGCTATGAGGCAATACTAATTAACCCAGTTTCTGTGTCAGTTGTGTGTTGTGTGGTCACACTTACCGAACCATCGTAATGACACCCATAAAACGGAATCCCAACTTTGGGTACTCATTTGATGTCCCGCCCTCAAGCATGAAATTCATCCTGTAATTCGAGATGCAATGCGTTGATTTGTTTCAGTTGAAGTAACCGAATAATAAATTTGTATTTTGACAGTTAGTTAATAGGGGAATAAGCGAGATGTGTGGGATATTGATGGCACAGCTGCTGCTGGAAGGAGGATACAGACAGATGGTCCCGGGGGTGAAATTTAAATGTCAGGGAGCTATTAAAGTAGAATTATGTAGGGGAAAAGTGATTCGATAGGAGAAGAAAAAGTGGAAAAACTTTACAAGTGGTAGAAACTAGGTTTAAAGATAACGAAATAATTGTAAAACAAATTAAAACCAGAAAAATAATACTTAATTAGATATTTTGTTATAAAGACCACTTTTTTCTGGCAGGTATTTTAGTGTTTGATTGATGGAGAAACTTGTGCTAAGGGACGTATCGTGTCAGAACCAACGCGTATTATAGTACAAAAATTTATGCACTAAGCAAGCACCCTCCCAATCTGCAGCACATGCT